GTAACTAATATTTGATGATTTGCTGATAAAAACCTTAATTGAAGTAACCAGAAAGGATTGTGTTGGTGAGTGGGATTCATTTTGATCTTTATTTGTAACTAATATTTGATGATTTGCTGATAAAAACCTTAATTGAAGTAACCAGAAAGGATTGTGTTGGTGAGTGGGATTCATTTACCTGTTAATTAATCATCTGTAATAATTCATTCAAGGTCCTGTTTCATTATTGAAACTTGATGGAACTCCAATATCCAAGTTTCTGCCAAGTACCATCACTGGTAAGAACTGTAAATACATTCTGAATCTCATCTTTTTGTATTTTATAAGATATGCATGAAATGAGTGTTTTGCTCACATTTAAAAACAATTTTGATTATTTTATTTAGCAGCATATTTTCTTGGATAAATATATCTATTAATGTTAACTTATTACAAAACTATACATGTGTGTATATTGTGCTCTCATAGAATGTATAGAATGTACTAGATTTCTTTCCCTACATCCAATCCAGGGGAATCCCTAAGTTTTCAAGTGATTATATGTAGATCACTTGATGATTTTATGTGACTATCACTTATCTTCACGAGGATAACATTTAGCAGAAGCTTTGAGATAAATCCTGGGGTTTCTGTGGCATTCACTGCTGTACTTCTGCATCTTTATATTGCTGTTTAGCCATAATGTAAAAAATAAAAGATCAACTATAGAGGCCTGGTCTGGCCAGGTGGTTAGGGTGCTCAACTCGCAATCTGAGGGTTGCAGATTTGAATCTTCGTCCCATCATACATGCTCACCTTTCAGCCGTGGGGGAGTGGTAGTAAGCCTAAGTATGCCATACAAGTGATTCTGCTACTAAAAGACAAAAAAGTTTGTCATTAAAACTATAAACCACTGCTTTTAGTGAGTTACATTCAAAATTTAATTAAACTACTTTTTTATCATGGTATACGAATAAACTTGGCACAACAATGGAGCGAATAATCGAAATTTTAATATTATATAAGTTTTATAAGGTAATATTTAAAAAATTCCTCACTTCCCCTAGTGTGAGGATTATGATAATTGCTCTCTGGTTATCTCCTCTTCTCTAATTTATTTACCACTCCTCCAAAAAGTACAAAATTTAACGTAAGTTACTCATTATAATGTTATTATCATTCAAGCAAATCACAATTTTTATATCCTACTATCTAATTCAGTTAGAGAGTCATAAAATAGAAAATCAGACTCTTATGCCATGCCCACCTCTTTCAGAAATTGTCAGTAGTTCTCTCTGACATTTAATACTATATTACTTATTACCAATATAAAGGCAAAGTTTTAATCTATCAAATGGCATATTATATTACATTGTTTTCTGTATAGAGAATTGTCTATTTTGCTTTACTCCCACGGGAAACACATCAACTAGCTTAGCTGAATTTTTAACAGCTCCTGTTGCATAGTTAGAAAACCAAACAAAGTGTGATAGTTACAAAACATTTTCTGCTTTTTACATTTTATTAGTCTATTTTCTTTGGTGCATTGTCTAATGTAAAAAAATATTATTAAGTGCAGTAGTACCATTAATATAAAAAAAAAAAAGTAGGGTTAAGTTTTATCGACAGTCAACAGCAAAAAAAGAATACTCTGGTAGATACTATATTTCTTCTTTTTCATGTGTATTATTTATTTATTATATTTACTATTATAAAAGTAACTAAAATATAGAAATTAGAAAATTTTTAGGTTAGATTATGTAAAATAAATAATAATCAGTTTTCACAGGGTACTCACGAGTAGCCTGTGCACTATGTAATTTGATAGGGTAACATGAGCTCCAAATTTGCTAAGTGATTTAAAATTTTTTATAGTGGGAATAGCTAGACACAGTTCAAAGGGCAACAGAATAATAAAATGTAAGTATAAACAGATTTAAACTGTTATGAGATTTAAGCTATTTAATATAAACAAATGTAGTTTCATGTTACAGTTTGAAGTCATTCTAGAAAGAAAAAAGGGTAATTTAGATTTATTTCATATTTTTTTACTGTGGTGACGAGGTCGGTTAAATTGACCAGCCTTATTTGGAGTTAAGGTAGAGAAAATAAGATAAGATACAAATTTTACTGAAAAAGTTTTATAATTATTTATGAGGTTTTAGAGATTACAAAATTGACATATGAGATTTTTCAGATGAATAAAAGTATTTTTAACCATGACATGAAAATCACTTTGCACTCAAGCTAGTAAATAAAGCTACTCGATAAATTTACGGACAAATCTTTATTAACCCTATTGGGACTGGGTCCTTAAACTTTAAGGACCTAACGTCTGCTATCATTTTATGTGATGAAATTGCATGAAATCTGACAAGAACATTCCTACAGTTTCAGAGAAATAAAAATATTTTGATTTTTTCTACTATTTCTAGTAAAAATTTTGTTATTTAATGTAATTAGTTACACTTGCACTCTCAATAATTCACATACAAGATGATTTTTATACGAAGTATAAAAAAAATAGTTTTTATCTCACAGTTTTCACATTTCATTCGCATAATCTCTAGAACCTCCTAAACGATTATCAAAAGTTTTTAATGAAAATGTTATTTCACATCTTTACCTTTTCACTTATATTTTTAATGTTTTATTTTCCTTTCCAATTCTTTGTCTTTTATTATTTTATGCCGAAACATCACCTGCTACCCATGGTTTATTATCATGTACTGTTTGCAAGAGACAAGATAGCCGCAGGCAAAATGCTTTACACATATCCTCTGTTTAGAAGTCTTGACGAGATAGGATATGAATCAGTAAACTTACAAAAATCATTAAACATTTCAAATATATATATTTTAAAACACAAATAATACATAATTAACTAAAAAATAAAAGTAAAATCTAAATGCAATTTAACTGTCTATCAAACTAATACGTATAAGGCGAAAAAAAATAGCAAAGCGCTAGGGACATTCGTATCCACAACAGACAAACGGAAATTTGCTTGTCACTTAAAAAATTATTTATTGCTTACGAGTACCCTGTGGTTACGAACTAGGTCAATTCGACCGAGCCTGTGTAGAAAGTGTTAAGTATATCTTGATTATGTTGGTTTTGGAATTGTTTCTGTGAAGTTTAAGTAATTTTGAATGTTTGGCTGCATGTGATATTTATGTTTCTCAGATTTCCGTCCAGCTTTCAAGAATGATTACTGTTCTGTTCATCCAGAAGTGTTGCAAGAAGTTTGTCAACAGTGGACTGACCAGTAAGATTGTTTTCATGAAGTTTACTAATAAACAAACTGGTTCATTATTATTGTGATCATGATTGGAGTCATAAAAATAAGTGGCTTTAATATAATCTTTGCTGATATTTAATTATTGTTTTCATTTAGTTTTGATCAATATTCAATTTGTAAAATTAAAAGACAGCAACTTTATGTTAAAAGTAATTTGTAATTCTTTCTTCTGGTCCTCTGTCATGTGACAAATCATGGTGTTGTTTAGGACAGTGTTTCTCAAACAGTGGGTCGTGATCCCCAAGAGAGTCACGAAATGTCTGGGCTGATTCAACATTTTATTTAAATAAAATTGTTGTGTTTTTCATCCTTGTAGAGATAATGGGGGGTCGTGATGTCCAAAGACCGGGCGTAAATCCGGCTGAGAAACAACTATATATACGAGAAACTTGCCAACCTGTATATGATAGAATACCTGACTAAAATGCTGTTCCAGTGTTTATCTATGCATACAGGGTCGAGTCAAAGTGAACATCACAAACTATTTTTTAAGTAACATTCAAATTTTAATTAGACTATTTTATTATCAATGTATGCCAATAAGCTTGGCATAAAATCAAAGTGTATCCTTCAAATTTTTGTATTATCTAAGTTTTAACTTTTTAATCTCAAAAGGAAATATTTAAATAAATTCTCGATCTTCACCTCTCTGTGTTACATAACATGTTTGCACTCTGACTTGTATATATATATTTTCTCTTCCTTTATATGGGTTTCAGTTTCTAACCAATAAGGAACTCATACAGTGGATATTGAAAAGCCAGAGAATAAAATTTGAACCTTTTAACTTCTTGCTTTACTGAAATATCACTATATTTGTTCAACCCACAAGACACACCCCTTCCATCTGTCTGTCTTTCAAGACATGTCTATAATTTTCTTGACATTGCTATTGGATATATTTATAGCCAATAGGGAGAGGAAGTTTTTTTACGCAATATTTTGTAGACAACTAACATACCGTGAAAAATTTAGTCTTGTTGAATTACATTCTCCTCAAAGCTAAGATGAGTTTAATATTTCATGTTTTTTACCAAAGCTAACTGAAATCTAACATTAAAAACTTATTAAGTTAGATAACAAAATTTAAATGAAAAAATTAACAAGATATTTCTCATGATCTCTCACTCTCGTAATTTACATGGTTTAAAGTCAAGTGATGGCCAGGTGGTTAGGGCGCTCGACTCGTAATCTGAGGGTCGTGGGTTCGAATCCCTGTCGCACCAAACATGCCAACCTCCGCCTTTGCTTGGTCCCAAGTCCAGAATGAGAAAAGAGGAGGGTTGGGCGTGGGGCTAGCAACTCCACCCCGTAAAAACCGACCTGCTACAAGTAACTGCAACAACAACTTCCGTTGGCGAGTTGTTGTCGCAGCCCTATGCTCCACTGGGAGTTTACAGGAATATAAAAAAAAAGAAAAAAAAAAAAGGTACAAGTGATGCAACTTGATAAAATATAAAGGTTTACTAAATAATTTTTGATGTTCATTTAGGAGGTTTCAGAATTTATGCAAATGTTTTAATGTTTACTAAAATCTTGCCAAATTTGGTGAAGATGCATTCAGAGTTTTTACAGTTGTAGTTACAAGGTTGTTCAAATTGACTGCCCCAGATACATAAGGTTAAACTTATCAGTAGTGGTCCAACCAACTTGAGTGTAGCTGATTTAATTAGAACTTCACACTTGACAACCAAGCAATGATTTTAATGGATCATATAGTAAACAGTTCGGTGGATAATTAATCAATAGCGTTAAAAGTTATGTGATCTAGTGAGCTATTTTTGATTTACTGATTGTTTTTAGGATCGAACTAACAAGTTTAGAATGTCGTAAAGGATTTTTATTTGGCATAATACGTGTAGTCGAACAGCCTATTAACAGCATAAAAAGAACAAGTACAAACTTAGTTACCTCATCTCACTTACTGTAACCATCTTATTTAATACTAATGTTTTCTCACTCTCACCATCTTTGTGCTGATATTCTGTACCAAGTTCATAGTCTGACACTGGTAGTATAATTCAGAGTAATTATACAACATAGTTCAGCACATATTAGAACAGATCATAATCAACATACTCCAGCTTAAGCTGGCACACACTACGTTGAAAAACATCTAACATAAGCTTGTACTTACAAGATTGCATTCTGGCAAGACCAGCACATACTACTGTGTTATTAACATACTTTACCACGGGGTCGGCCTTAGGAGGATGCGGGGTCTGAGGCAAGCACTCGGGAATAGGTTCTCGAGTTGGAATACTAAAAGTATACAATTGGCTCTGCCACTGAGAAGCAGGGCCTGAGGCGATTGCCTCAGTGGCCTCGCCCTAAGGCTGGCCCTGCTTTAAGGTATGTTAGCAGATTTTAGATTAATTCACAGTTAATGTATTCCTCTATAGACACGCTGTACGTCAAGGAACACAAACTGCTGCATAGTATGTTCTAGTTTTTAACTCCAACAAGATTTACTAACACTCTCCAGTAGGTGAGAGTACTCACTGCTAAGATACACCCTAAACTAATGTATATTCGATTGCTTCACATGTGTAATGTGTATATACTGAAACAGATCTGTCCTTTTTAGGTTGCAGACAGTAGATACTAACATTTTCTTATCTGTGAAGTTATTTAATGTTGAGATATGTGTTATATGATACATTTAACATAGTTCTTTGTTATATGTTTTCACAGACTGAGCAGGGACATTGAAAAAGGTCTTTGGGAGCTACTGGAATGCATCAGGACTATAAAAGGAGTAGCTCATGTGAGAGATGCTGTATTTGAACTTTTATGTCAGGTAAGAATATGCCCAAACTTAGCTGGATCAGCACGTGTCAGACTGTGCAAAAATTAGGTGAAGAAGGTCGGAAAGTATAGACAAGTTCTTATAATAAGCATTTGTTAAATAGGAATGACATAAATATATTTCAACATCTTAATATGTTATTAAAAAACTCTTTAAACTAATAAAGCTTGAAATGAATCACTTCATTTGTGCAGTGAAATAAGAAAAGATGATATTATTTATTCTGAAAAATGGCAACCAAATTGAATGAAGTTATTTTTCACTGACAAGTACAGTGTGTTACAAACTTACCCCACGACAAGACAGTAACAGTTACAAATTTTTGGTTTGTGATGGAATAAGGGAGTGTTAATGATGCACACCACATATTCACTTTAAGACTGTCTTGCTTCTTGATAGAAATCTTTACTGGTGGATGTTTCCATTCAATACTTTGCACTAGAATAATTGATTTTCTCTCTGCTAGCCGCAGGACACACACAATCTTTTTATGATTTTGGTGACTGTGTCTCTATTATAGATGATTACATTTATTATGGTAAAAAACTACTTACATACCTACATCCTTCATCCTCAATAAACCTGAAGTTCATAACTGTTACTGTCTTGTCATTCTTTAAGTTTGTAATATGTCACATAGTTTCGGACACCGTGAATAAATCAACGAATTGGTGAAACATGTATAGAAAGAAAATAACTTATTGGTAATTATAAAGTACTGTAGAATGTTTGTAGAACTGATTATTAACTGTCAAGCTGTATAGAATGTCTGTTCAGGTTTTTTGTAGTTAGTGCTCACTTTTATAC